ATGATATTTTAGAACGATCGTTTAATGTAGAAACTAACTGTATAGTCATGTTAAACTTCATTCAAAACGCAAAAAATTTTAATACATAACCACAATAAAATATCCAAAAAAGGCGAATTCCATTTGAGATCTACATAACTTCAAGTGGAAATCTGATATCATGCTGCTTGATATCGAGCGGACCAAAGGTTGGTATCGAACCCGCGAATAGACCTCTGATATGTTAGAATGAACTTTGTCAAAACTACAAATAAATGCCCACAAAAGCGATTTTTATTTGAATTTTATTTAAGACATAACCTAAGGTATGAATTTGATATCACGCTGCTTGATATCGAGCTGGCCGAGGGTGACATCGTATCCGAATTTAGTTTGTGCTGGGCAACAACGTTCTTACCAGTTACACCACACACATACTTTTTCCATACGTACCCACATACTTTTTCCAGATTGTTTCTCATTGTTCTATTAATCTAGAACTCAAGTTGGAATCATGCTGCTTGATATCGAGAAAATTTGCTACTTTTTTTCAAATTTGTTTTGATTCGATTTAGAACTTAAGTTGGAATTTAGTATCATGCTGCCTGATATCCAGCGGGCCGAGGTTGACACGTCCTTATCACGACATACACACACACATACTTTTTCCAAATTTGTTCTCATTCGATTCAGAAGCTAAAGTGGAAATTTGTTATCATGCTACTTGATATCAAGCTGGCCGAGGTTGGCATCGAAACCACGACTGGTTCGTCCTTACTGGTTACGCCACAACATACACAAGTACACACACATACTTTTTTCAAACTTGATCCCATACGATTCAGAATGGAAATGGTAGAATTATCTAGTAGGATTTTTTCTGGAAAACAAACTTCTTTCGCAAGTTAAAAATCGATTTGTTCAATATTTCACCTGATTTTACCTGATGCAATTTTGTCCATGAAAATTTCATTAAAGTGTATATTTTTGGAGATATTTGCAAAAAAAAAGGATGAAAATCGTGAAAAAATACGAATTTTTCAATTGACGTGACAAATAACTTTTTAGGTAAAGATCGATTTGTTCGATATTTTACTTGCTACAATTTTGTTTAACATAAAATTTTCACTAAAATGTAATTTTTGGAGATATTTGCAAAAAAGGACGAAAAAAATGAAAATCGATTTTTTTACCAAAGTTAGTCTTATTCGATTCAGAATGACTTGAAACGTCGAAAAAACACAAAGTTAGCAAGTCAAATTTTTTGTGGAAACGAACTTCAAGAAGTTAAGAATGTATATTTTTGGAGATATTTGCAAAAAAAATATGAAAGACGTGACAAAAAATCCGTATTTGCAATTACTAATAACTAGAAAAGCATTAGAATTTAAAATATAAAACATTTTACTTAACGAGGCCTTGGGCCTTTACGAAAATCCGAGGAAAAAAAAGGAAAATCACACCTCCAATAAGGGATGAAAACCTAGTCCATAATTAGAAATTCCTAAATTATTTTTTTATCACTACATCATTTTTACTTTTAAATTTAGTTAACGGGTAGATGAGCCTAATTCTAAAATTTCAATATACTTTAATGGCTGCACTATAAACGCCATACTTTAGCTGATGGTACCTCTGGCTTATGATTCATTATGCATCCGATAAAATATTAAGGCGAAATAAATTAAAAGTATTATAATTATAATATATATATATAAATATATATATATATATAATATGAATTAATTCCACCACAATACCTTATTAAAGCACATGGCGCAACATCCGGCGTCCCTTCTACAGAGTCCCGTGTCCACCATCGCGCCTCTCTCTTCACAGCACCAACTCGCAGCCACAACTTTTATTTCACATTTACTTTTCACCACCTCACATAACTAATTATTGTCACTATCATCAATCTAACTAATCAACTAATCAACTAATCGACTAATCGACTAATCGACTAATCGACTTTGAGACACGATACAATAATTACCGTACTATATATAATATTGCGTAATATTAGCGAAGCAAAGTGGGTGAAGTGACTTCAACGACCGACTGAGGAGTTACCACTAGTCATCCCGGTAGTGTGTTGTCCGGTGATGAATTTGACTAAAAAAGTTTAAGTTGCAAATAGTGTTGCCGGTGTTTAATGTATTATAAAAACCGTTACGATTTGAATTTGAAAAGCGTTGAGTCTTATTAATATTTTCTTCGAAATCTATGAAAATAATCTTTATAAATGTATTATAATAATATAACAAATTATATATAATATATATATATATATATATATATATATATTTAAAAATTATTTAACCACATATTAATAAATACATTACCTATAAAAATGATATAAACTAGGTTAAGTGGCACTATTGACTTAAACCATAAGAAGAATTAATATATTAATTTCTGAGTGATTTATCAGTAAACCATGTCTCTGTAAAGCATTATATGTAATTGTTATTATTAATATTAATTATTTATAAATTGTTTATAAAAAAGTCACTTCAATATTATATAGTCTACCTGTTTATTTTTGCATTTATCAACCTGAGTATCTTTCTATTGGTCTACCTGCCCATTTTCGTTTCTTTATACCTGTCCATCTGTCTACCTGGATAGCTTTTGTGTCTGTCTACCTGTCTATTTTTGCATATATCTACCTGTCTACTAGTCTGACTTTGCATCTGTCTACCTTTGTATCTTTCTACCTGTCCATGTTTGTATCTTTTTACCTGTGTGTCTTTTTATCTGTCTGCCTGTCGATTTTTGTATTTATTTACCTGGTTATTTATGTACCTGTCTACCTATCTATTTGTGCCTGTCTAACTTTGCGCCTATCTACCCGTCTCGTCTATTTATTTGCCTAAGTGTCTATTTTTGGACTTATCAACACCTAGCCCATTTTTTATCTGTTTACTCCTAAGTGTTTGTCTTTTGATATGCTTACTTATCCAATTTTACATCTGTCTATCTATCTGTCAATCTTTGTATCTGTCCACCTGGATATGCTTGAATCTATCTGCCTGATTATCTTTTTATCTGTCTACTTGCCTAATTTGCATCTGTTTATCTGGCTATCTCTGTAACTATCTACCTGTCTATTCTTGGTTATTGTTATCTGGCTATCCTCGTATCTGTCTAACCCTAACCGTATCTATTTTTTTTATCTATCTAGTTGCCTCACTTTTTATCTGTCTACCTGTCTATATTTGTATCTGTCTACCAGTCTATTGTCGGAAGTATCTGTCATCTTGTCTATCTTTTTTCTTATCTGACTATCTGTCTATTTTAGTACCTCTCTGTGTTCTCTTCTCATCTGTCGAGTTGTCTATTATTTTATCTGTCTATCTGTCTATTTTTGTATCTATCCACCTGTCTGTCTTTTTATCTTGCATGCCTTGTCTATCCTAACACATGTCTTTCTCTTTCCCTGTTTGTTTTGTATCTAACTTGTACTTGTCTACCTGTCTATCTTCATACCTCTCTGTCTCTATATATGTCTACCTGTCCAGCTGCCTGTCATTCTATTTGTCTACTTTGCTAATTTAGTATCTGTCTACCTTTATAACTTTTTTAACTTTGAATCTGCATTTCTGTCAAACTGCATAATTTTCTATATGACTATACCAGCCTTCTACCTAAATACCTATCTACGTCTAAATCTCTTTCTCTCTTTCGACTTGTCTACCTGTTGACCTGTCTAGTAATGTTATTTCTATATGAATCAATATCAATAATTCATTTTTGATTACCGAAAAAAAATCTGCATCTGCAAAACCGCGGGACTGACTTATAAATTTATATGTAAGAGTGCAAATTTATGCGAGAGTACAAATAGTATTTCATGCAATTTTTTTCTAAAAAGAAGTAGTGAGTATGTATGTAAAGGTGCAAACTTATGCGTAAATCATACTTTTACTTAAAACAGTTTTATCTATACAAAATAAAATATTTCACATCACAGTCGTTTCAAAAACAAAATTTTTGCCATATATAATTTTAACTCACAAAAAAAATGAATAACACATTTTAAACGGAAAACAACAAAATTTATTTAACATGTCAAAATTTTAAGTGTAAGTTTCGCGCTTTCTTCCAAAAAATGGATCGAGTAAATTATCCGCATTATTATCTGCAAAGGCTTCCCAAAAAAGATGAGAAAAACGAAAAAGAATTACCGCGATATGTCAAAAGGCCAATTTCTGGAGAGCAACATAAACCTGCTTGTCATTTTAAAAGACGGTATGAAATGTGAAAAAATACCACAAAAAACGTTGAAATCAATTCTAAGTCTTCTAAGTGCGAAAAATGTTAAAAATCAAATGTAAGTATTTTCTCCCTTTTTCCAGTTTGGCCGCAGACAACATGACCTGGTTCAATGGTAAATTCTCCAGATACACCCCAACCGAATACAGGGATGAAATAGGAAGGGTTGGAATGTGGTTTACACGTCTCAATGTCCACAAGGAATATCACAGGGACATTGCAAGGGTCAGGGGTCGAATGAAATTCGAATACGACTTGGACTAAAATAATAAATAATTAATTATACTATTAAACTAAATTATGGAAAATGTTCTTATTTTTAATAATTATTTTAAATGCATTTTAATCAGAATTTGAAATGCATATACACTTAGTAGTTCCTCAAAAAATGATTTATTTAAAATTAAAGCTGACTTTTATTAAATCTACAAATAGCATACGCTAGTATATTAAGTTAACTTAAAAAAAATAATTATGCGACTATTTCGACTTTTTATGCAATATGGATTAAATAAATATATTTAAAAAACACTATTTATAAAATACTATATTTTACCTTTAATGTGTTTTTTATTATATGTATCACGATACATAAATTGCGTTTCTATTAATTAATAAATTATTTCATTATATTTAATTTTTGTTGGTTGGTCAAAAACATTGAATAATTAGTGTTAATAATAATCACATAGAGTAATAATAATAATAAGTACCTCAAACTTCATAATTGTATTTTTCTTTTAAAGTAGTGTCTCAGTTGGCGACATAAACAGCATCTGCTTTAACAATAATAGTAAAAGTTAATAAAAAAATTAATTATCAAAAGAAGTATATTAAATATTATATTAAAACTCTATTATTTTTTAAAACTTACTTTGCGTCGTGATTACGTAACAAAAAGCGCGATGCAAATTTAGTTGTATATGATTTATAAAGAATTAATTTTTGTTTCAACAATAATAATACACATCAAGTATCAGAATATTATCAGAATAGGTGTGTTTAAATTTGCATTAGAGCAAAAATTAATTTTTAATGAATTAAATCAAGTTGTTAGTGGTTACATTACAAAAAAAATAACAAGACGCAAAGTGAATTATTGGCTTTAGTTTTAATATATAAGTTCTAGGATCGCGAAAAAGAGAACTAAATAAGGTAAATATTTAAAAATAACAAAAGATATAAAATTTTCTTAAGTACACACAAAGAAAAATTTGTGAGTTTGTACGTGCAAATATATTCTGTACACCGCGGAACATTTTCCTAAATTTCTTTAAATCACTCGAAAATTTTGTACTGAGCACTCTTTTCTATTTAGCTTAGCAGAAACTAGATAGAATTGACTAAAATTTGGTATAAATTGTCTAATATGCACCTATACAAAAATATTGAATAAAACTAGATGTTTGAACTCGCCCTTAGCATTTTTCTACTACTAAAATTTGGTATAGAACGTCTAATATACTCTGATATGAAAATATTGAATAAAACTATTTGACACGCCCTTACATTTTATGTGAGTTTGCTATATATGAATTCCAGACACTTTTTTACATTTATTTAAATAATTTAAAAAAATTGTTCGGGACACTGTTCTTTATTTAGTTTAGTAGAAACTAGATAAAATTTATTATGATTCGATGTAAAGAATCTTATGCACTCCGATATGAAAATTAAAAAAAAACAACTAGTTTGAACTCGCCCTTAGTATCGTGTAAATTTGCTATATTTGAGTTATATATTTCAAAAATTTTGTTTCCGGCACTCTGTTTTATTTAGCTTAGCGGAAACTACATATTTACTACAAATTTATATGAACAGTTTTATATGCTTTAAAACAAAATTTGTTTTATTAAAACTATGTAGAACGCGCACTTATATATAGAGCAAATTTGCGCGACATTTTTTTAAAATCCTATAAATAACTCGATAATTTTGTTTCGACGACTCTTTTTTACTTAACTTAGCAGAAACTAGATAAGATTTTCACATAAACTGTTTTACATGTCCGAAAACAAAAAACAATTAGATAAAACTAGTTTAAACGCCCATTTATATTCATGCACTTTTCTATTTTTTTTTCTAATAACTTGAAAACTTTGTTCCTGGCACCCTTTTTTCTTTATCTTATCAGAAACTAGATACAATTTACTACAAATCTATGTATGTAAACTGTTTTATATGCTTTTAAGAAATTGTTAAATTAAACTTTTAACGTTTTAACGTTCAAAATAAAATAGTTTTAACGCCCATTCGAAACTCGAAAATTTTGTTCTGGACACTCTTTTCTATTTAGTTTAGCACAAACTAGATAAAATTCACTATAATTTTATTTAAACTATTTTATATGCCACCATACAGAGAAATTGTTAAATAAAACTAGTTTTAACGCCCATTTTTATTCAGTGCATTGCAGAACATTTTTCTAAATTTCTTTAAATAACCCGAAAACTTTCTTTCGGACATTCTTTTCCAATTAGCCCAGCAGAAACTAGATAAAATTTTCTACAAATCCATATATACTGTTTTACATACCCCGATATAATTTTTTTAAATAAAACTAGTCTAAAGTCGCACTTTAAACACTAATTCTTTCCTTATCTATGATTAATACCATCAAAAAGTAATGCAATAATAATATAAGAAATGATGTACTAAATAATAAAAGTTATCAATAAAAATAAAATTAAGTAAAGCAAAGTCTGTGCCAAATTTTTTTACACAAAGTAATGCAAAATACTTAAAGTTAACAACCACAAAAAAATTTATAGTTGACATGGAAATGAACAATAAATTACATAGAAAACTTGCTGCACAAAATCATTGGGAAAAACACAGAAAAATATTTTTGTTGTTAATAAATTTTGTTGTAAAAAAAAATCATGATTAATACATACATCATTTCTCATATTATATTTTTATTTGTAGCTTTATCCACTGAGGAAGGACTCGGGACTCGAAACATACATTTGATCAAACAAATAAAACCGATTAAAAAATTGCAAAAACATTGTTAAGATTTTTTTATATTATCTCGATGGATACTAGCTTAAAAAACCTTTTTTGTTTATACATATATATATATATATATATATATATATATATATATATAAATTAAATATTTTTTGCTTACCATTAGTTTCATAATTCCCAGCCAAATTATTTCCAGTATTCAAGAACAAATCAGACAACTGTGCCAATGTCAAATCCTTCTGGTCCTTCAGCAAAACATCATCATCATCAGCCTCACCAGCATCATTATCTACCACATCATCATTTTCCTCTTTCTTCGACTGAGGCACCCACTTATTCATCATTGCATAATGAATGTTCTGTTCGATGGTATCTCTGACAATAAATTTGTAGACGTAAGTCTTTTTCGTCTGGCCAATTCTGTGCACTCGACTTATTGCTTGAATCTCTTCACCAGGGTTCATGAGTGGCTCCATCAGGATGACATGGGTGGCTTCGATGAGGTTCAGACCTTTGGAACCAAATTTGAGAGGCAGCAGGAGGCAGGTTATGTTTGCACTTGGATCCTGGGCAAAGGGTAAATGAAAATGATTTAGATGTAAGTGGTAGTATATATATATATATATATATATATATATATATATAATTTACCTTAAATTGTTCAACGGCTTGTGGATTATTGCTATGTCGCACTTTATACAAAATGGAATTTTTCTCAAGAGCTTTACCGACATACTGCAAAATTACTGGCCACTGCGAGAATATTAATACCTGAAAAAATATTATATTAAATATATATATATATATATATATATATATATATATATACATATATATATATATATGATTCCTCTACCTTGACAGATTCATCGTCCCTCTTGAGATTCAAAATCAACTTGAGCACAGCTTGAATTTTTGTAGAAAAATTACCAACAATCTTGACCTCTTCCATTGCACTGTCATCGTTCTTTAACTTAACATAATTTATCATGGAGACCTCCTGCACCGTTCTGCAAATGCAGCACTTGGTTCTTCTAGTTGACTGATGCTGCTGCAGGGTTGTATTTGTCAAAGACACATTCAACGAGGGAGCTTGGCTAACCAGATTGGCACAGCAAGAGACACAGAAACTGTGACCGCAGGTGAAGACTGCCCACTAGTAAAATAAGTTTTTTTTTAATCGACTTGCAACAGGTTTGGGTTAAATATCTGATATTATATATTATGGAGGCTGATATTATATGTAAATGGAGGCTGAGAGTGTTTTGTTTATTGAAGTGAAACTTCTAATAACACTTTCAACAAGGATGAGTTAAACAATTAGCTGCGATGAAAGGATAATGAAAGTGATCAAGCGAGTAATGTCTGAAAATGTTTTTGAGAGTCTAAATATATACTAGATATTTTGTAAATGGTCTCGATGGTCTGAAAATGTTCTAGATAAGCTGAAAATTTTATGTAGTGAGGTCTAAAAGTGTTCTAGGTAGTTTGAAAATCTTATAAAGAGTCTGACAATGTTGTACGAATAGTTCCAGACAGCCTGAACATAATCTCGATACTCTGCAAATGTTCTAGGCAGTTTGAAAATGTTCTAGATTGTCTCAAAGTGTTCTAGACATTCTGAAAATGGCCTCAATAGTCTGATATTGTTCTAGGCAGTCTGAAAATATTGTAGATAATCTGTAAAAATTCTACAATGTCTAAAAATAGTCTAAATAGCATGAAAGTAATGTAAATAGTCTGAAAATGTTGTAGGCAGACCAAAAAAATTGTAGACAATGTTCTAGACAAGCCTGAAAATATTTTAGCTAGCCTGAAAGTAGTCTAGTTAGTCTGAAAATGTTCTAGATAGTCTGAAAATAGTCTAGGTAGTTTTAAAATGTTGTGGATTGTCTGAAAATAGTCAAGATAGTTTGAAAATATTCTATACAGTTTCAAAATAGTCTAGTAGACAGTCTGACAATGTTGTAGATAGTCTGAAAGTACTCTCGTTGCTATGCAAATGTTCTAGACAGTCTGAAAATGTTCTCGACAGTCTGAAAATGTTATAGATACTCTGCAAATGCTCTTGACAGTCTAAAAATGTTCTTATAGTTCTGAAAAACTTCTAGATTATCTGAAAATAGTCTCGATACTCTGAAAACGTTCTAGATAGCCTGAATATAGTCTAGATGGTTTGAAAATAGTCTTAAGAGTCTGAAAATGTTCTAGATGGTCTGAAATTTTATGAATAGTACACTATTTGGTGTACAATGTTTGAAAACGTTCTAGACCGGATAGAAATAGTCTAAATAATCTGAAAAAATTCTAGATAGTTTAAAAATAGTCTTGATACTCTGCAAATGTTCTAGACACTTTGAAAATAGTATAAATAGCCTGAAAATAGACAAGATAGTTTGAAATTGCTCTAGAATGTCTAAAAATAATCTGGGTAGTCTGAAATTGTCTAGATGGGCTCGGGCTGTAAATAGTCTAGATAGTCTGTAAATAGTCTCGAAACTCTGCAAATGTCTCAAGACAGTCTAAAAATGTTGAAGTCAGTCAGAAATTATTCACGATACTCTGCAAATTTTCTAGGCTGTCTGAAAATAAACTAAAAAGAATCTGAAAATGTTCTGAAGAGTCTCAAAATGTTCTAGGTAATCTGAATATTTTATGAATAGTCTGAAAATGTTGTAGACTGTCTAACAATAGTCTAGGTAGCCTAAAAGTAGTCTAGGTACTATGAAAATAGTCTAAAAAGTCTGAAAATGTTATAGAGACTATTTTCGACAGTCTGAAAATGTCGTCGACACACTGAAAATAGTATAAGTAGTCTGAAAATGTTCTGAACACTCTGAAAAGATTCTAGGTAGTCTGAAAATGATCTAGATAGCCTAAAAATACTGTAGACAGTCTGATAATAGTCTAGCCACTCTAAAGATAGTCTAAAAAGTCTGAAAATGTTCTAGACAGTCTGAAAATAGTCTCGATACTCAGTAAATGTATCTAGACAGTCTGAAAATGTCTCCAGACAGTGTGAAAATGTCCTAGAGAGTCAGAAAATGTCTTTAGACATTATGAAAATGTTCTACATAATCTGCAAATGGTCTAGGCAGTCTGAAAATAATTTTGATACTCTGCAAATGTCTCTAGAGACAGTCTGAAAATGTTCTAGACAGTCTGAAAATGCTCTTGACAGTCTGAAAAAGCTGTTGACAGTGGGAAAATGTTCTAGACAGTCTGAAAAAGCTGTTGACAGTGTGAAAATGTTCTAGACAGTCTGAAAAAGCTGTTGACAGTGTGAAAATGTTCTAGACAGTCTGAAAATGTCTCCAGACAGTGTGACAATGTTCTAGAAAGTCAGAAAATGTCTTTAGACGTTATGAAAATGTTCTACATAGTCTGCAAATGATCTAGGCAGTCTGAAAATAGTCTCGATACTCTGCAAATGTCTCTAGACAGTCTGAAAGTGCTCTTGACAGTGCGAAAATAGTCTAGATGCTACGCAAATGTTCTAGACAGCCTGAAAATGTTCTAGGCACACTAAAAATTATCTTACGCTCTGAAAATACTTTAAATAGACTGAAAATGTTCTAAACTGTCTAAGTCTAATAATCTAAGTAATCTGAAAATCATCTAGATAGACTAAAAATATTGTAGACAGTCTGATAATAGTCCAGCCACTCTAAAAATGGGCTAAAGAGTCTGAAAATGTTCTAGATAGTTTAAAAATGTTCTAGACAGTTTGAAAATGTTACAGACAGTCTGACAGTAGTCTAGATAGTCTAAATATAGCCTAGAAAAAATAGCTTACATAGACTGAAAATGTTCAAAGTCTGAAAATAATTAACAACGGTTTCAGACTACAATTACAGCAATTTCAGACAACTATTATTATTCTTGTGATTTTTTAAAATTTATGTATTAATATTTATACCTGTTTTCCAAGTGGCTCTATACACACAGGGCAAGTTTCATTATTGTCCTCCATGTCTTCGTAATTCTTCTTCAAACCGTTTAAGTAATTCCAAGAATTGAATAATCTCTGAACTGTTTGCAGATGCATCTGACGATCACGTTCTAGTCTCGATTTTTGAACAGGAATCTAATAAATTTATAATAAATCAATAAAAAATAATTAAAAACACTTGATTTTGTCGTCTAACCTGATGCGATTCAAAGATATTCAAATTGCTCAATGGATTATTTTTGGCTGCTGACAGCTCTTGTAAAACTTTAGGTATTTTTGATGGTTTTGGAGCATCCTCTCCATCAATTTTCAAATTCAGTTCCATTCTAGTTTTGCATATATCTGGGTAATAAACAGAATTATTATTAAATACAGTTCAACGAATAATATAAATTCTTTATCTAGGTACCTAGTTCATCACCGGCAGCGACCAAGTCAGTCAATTTTATCCAGAATTTCCTCAAGTTCTTGAATTCAGTCTTATAAGCCTCTATTAATTTCTGGTGCGTCTCACCGTCTTGTATTGCAAATTCATATTGAGCCTCAATCGTTCTACTTCTGGCTACCGATAATAATGATTTTATAACTAGTTCTTCGGCTCTGGGTTTCCAAGAACCTAAAATGAAATAAGAGAAATTTATATGGATGAGCAATATCAAGATTTTCCAGACAAAATAAAATGTAGATCTATTTTAGACAATTTATGTGATTTACGAGTATTTCTCCAATTACTGCAATTTTCAACATTTTCAGACAAATTACAAACTACATTACCTTATCAGACAACTAACAATATTTTCATACAATTAATAACCTTTTCTGAAAAATTACAACATTTCTGTTTACATTTTCATATACCTCACAACAACAATTTTCAGACAGCTAACAATATTTTGAGACAGATCACATAATTCTAAAACAACTCACAGCATTTACAGACAACTTAAAACATTTACAGAAAACACACAAACTTTTCAGAGAAGCTATAACATTTTTAAGCAATATACAGCATTTTCAAGCGAATATCTCCAGACAATATGCAACATTTATAGGTAAATATACAACCTCTTCAAATAATTTATAATGTTTTCAGCAAATTTACAACATTTTCAACTGTTTCGCTACTTATTCAGGCAGATCGAAACATTTTAAGGAAGATTTTCATACAACTCACAACATTTTCAAATAACTCACAATATTCTCAAACAACTCACAACGTTTTGCGGCAGCTTCCAACAATTTTGGATAATTTACAACGATTTCAGACATCTAACAAAACTTTCAGACAACTCACAAGATTTGCAGACAACTCAGAACATTTTTAGTCAACTGACAATATTCACATAATTATAGAGCAACTCATATAATAATCAAGCAACTCACAACATTTTCAGACAAGTCACAAGTGAGTTGTTCGAAAATGACATAGATTGTATAAAAATGTAAAGTGTATAAAAATGTTGGAAATTGTTTGAGAATGATGCGAGTTATCTGAAAATGTTGCGAGTTGTCTGAAAATGTTGTGAGCTGTCTGAAAATGTTGTGAGTTGTCTGAAAATGTTGTGAGTTGTCTGAAAATGTTGTGAGTTGTCTGAAAATGTTGTGAGTTGTCTGAAAATGTTGTGAGTTGTCTGAAAATGTTGTGAGTTGTCTGAAAATGTTGTGAGTTGTCTGAAAATGTTGTGAGTTGTCTGAAAATGTTGTGAGTTGTCTGAAAATGCTATGAGTTGACTAAAAATGTTGTGAGATATCTAACAATGTTGTGAGATGTCTGAGAATGTTGTGAGGTGTCTGAGAATGCTGTGAGGTGTCTGAGAATGTTGTGAGGTGTCTGAAAATGATGTGAGGTGTCTGGAAAAGATTTGAGTTGTATCGGAATGTTGTGAGATGTCTGAGAATGTTGTGAGATGTCTGACAATGTTGTGAGTCATCTGAGAATGTTAAAATAATCTAAGATGTTTGAAAAAAAATTGAAATAATTTCTGAATTGTCTGAAAATCTTGTGAGTTGCCTGAAAATATTCTAGAACTGCCAAAGCTTTTACAAAAAATATTGTAAACAGAGAACAAAAATATTTGTTAAAATGATTATATATTTATAATAAATGTTAGTTGCAAATGTTATAAATTTGAACTTTGATATTTCTTTATTATAATTACAATTAAAAGATGCCATCAATTGCAAAGTTCAAATAACAGAGTCGCCTTAAACATACAATACGAGTTCACTAAAAAATAATTTTGGGCTATGAACATAACGTTTCAATAGTTTTGAGATGTATTAAAATAAATACGAGTACCGGGAATAGCAAATTTTCAACATACTCTTATTTGAATCATGTTAGGGGCGTACATTAATCACGTGATCAAATTTTTAAATATTTTTAAGGACCGTCCCACCAAACATCACGCACATTTTCAATTACAAATTTGTTTGTTTTTTTGAAAATTTTTGGATTTTTTTTTTAAAATTCGTGTAAAAAATAAATACACGTGATATCTTACTATACCCCTCCCTCGTGATATTTCGTGATTTTTTTGTCAAACGTGATTAATGAACGCCCGCGTATGTTACAACAGAAGACCAATAACATGACATAGCCTAATAAATTTACCTTCGGTCCTAACTTTATTCATGTACCAATTGGCCGTCTTCACTTCCATCGAATACATAACTATCTCCATGGCATCGACCGCCTTCTTCAGCTGGCACAGCCTGCATAGTTTCTTGGCCTGCTTCTTCCTCTTCCGCTTGTTGACTTCCTCCTCTGCCTCTCTCAGATGACAGCTCGAGCTCTCTTCCGTTAAACTCCTGAAGAGCGGTTGGCTCATAAATGAAGCCGTCGAGGATTCGTCGACTGTCTTTGGCAGATCGGATATCTTTACCATCTTTACAAATTCCAGACAATCGTTGTAGGTGTCTGTTATTTCTGCGCACCAGGTTTTCAGGTTGTGGCTGAAGCGGTGTACGTTGTCCCATCTGAAGAGAAAAATTAGTTGTGAGTGGTAAGACTAGGGGGCGTCCATTAATCACGTGATCGATTTTTTAAAGATTTTTGCACCCCGCCTCCCCTTGGTGATACGTAGTGATATTTAGAATTAACCCCCTCCCCCACCAAACATCATGTGTATATTTAGCCAAGTAAAATTTTCCGAATTTACGAAAAAAACTTTTTATTTTTTTTTAAAAAAAATGTAGGTGATATATTACCACGTGATTTTTCATGATTTTTTGTTAATGTAAAAAGCGGTCATAAATTAGTTAAAAGTATCAAAAATGAGCAATAAAAATTATAAATTGGAATAATGAGCTATAACTGACCAAAGCAAATTAATAATGGCAAAAACGAGAACAAAATGACAAAAATGGACTATAAATGGCAAAAAAGAGTTTAAAATAGCAAAAATGAGCTATAAATGACAAAAACAGATTATAGACGACAAAAAGGAGCTATAAATGGCAAAAATGAGTTCAAAATAGCAAAAATAAATGACAAAAACAAGTTATAAACGACAAAAATGAGCTATAAATGGCAAAAAAGTTCAAAATAGCAAACATGAGCTTTAAATGACAAAAACAAGTTATAGACGACAGAAAAGAGCTATAAATGGCAAAAACGAGTTCAAAATAGCAAAAATCAGTTATAAATGGCAAAAACGAGTTATAAATGACAAAAACAAGCTATAGACGAGAAAAATGAGCTATAAATGGCAAAAACGAGTTCAAAAGCAAAAATGAGCTATAAATGACAAAAACCAGTAATAGATAGAAAAATAAGTTATAAATGGCAAAAACGAGGTCTAAATAGCAAAAATGAGCTATAAATGACAAAAACAAGTTATAGACGAGAGAAATAAACTATGAATGGCATAAACAAGTTCAAAATAATAAAAATGAACTATGTATGGCAAAAACAAACAATAAATTGCATAAATGTGCTATAAATAGTATAAACGAGCTATATATGGCATAAACGAGCTATAAATGGCATAAACGAGCTATAAATGGCATAAATGATCTATAAATGGCAAAAACAAGCTCAAAATAGCAAGAATGAGCTATAAATGGCATAAATGAGCCAAGAATTGCAAAAAAGCTATAAATAGCACGGACAAGCCATTAATGGTAGGGAAAAACTATAAATGACAGAAATTAGCTATAAATGCCATAAACTAGTTATAAATAGCACGAACGAGCTGTAAATAATAAAATCGAAGTATAAGCGGCAGAAATTGGTTTTAAATGGCGTAAACTAGCTATAAATGGTTCCAACGCTATAAATAGTAAATTAAAAGTATAAATAGCAAAAAATAGCTTTAAATAGCACAAACAAGCTATAAATAGTCAAATCAAATTATAAATTAAACGAGCTCAATATAGCAAAAATGAGCTACAAATGGCATAAATGAGCTATAAATGGCTTAAACGAGCTATATTTGAAAAAACAATACCATAAAAATAAACTACAGTTCCCAAGAATAAGCTATACTTGAAAAAATGAGCTACACTTGCCAAAAATTAACCATTAACGGCAAAAAAAATATATGTTCCAAAAATTAATAATAATTGTAGTAATATGCAAATAATCGACTCAATAATAAGTATTAATATTAGGACATACAGGGTATATGCCTCAAGTGCGCGCCTCATTATTCCATTAGATTGAACTAATCAATTTATACAATTATAACATACAATTATTATTCATAATCAAGTAATTTTCTTACTGGCTGTCTTGCAAAACTTTTAGACCAAACGTATTGTTCAACTCGCACTGAACTCTGTCAATAAGTCTGCTCTCGAAGCCCGAAGTTGTTGCAAGTTTGAAAATAGCTTGCCACCAATGATTTATCGGTTTCACAAACTCCCCATACAATTTATCGATTTCATTCTTTGATTTTTCATGCTCTAATTGTACTTGCAAAACCTAAAATGTAAAAAAATATTGAAAATTAGAAACTTGGAAATAAAAAACTTATTAATGTAATTTATACCTGTTGATAATACACGCCCAAGTATCGAATTTCTAAATTGATTGCTCTTTGTTTATACATTTGCACTTCTTTGGAGATTTCACATTCACGATTTGAAGTTGAGATGTCGTATAAATTGTGCAAAGTATGAATTTTCTGCAATAAGAAAGGTTCGTGATTGAACAAGAATTATAAAATATTTATAATATAATATAATAACGTACCAGCAAAGAATCAATATGAAAATCTTTCTCGTACTTTTCAGCAAGTGCTAAAACGCCTTCATAAATAATTTTGGCATTTTTTATATCATCCTCTAATAAATAAAGTCCAGCAATACCTTAATTAAATAAATTAATAAAAATAAAAATTAGTCATTTTCATAGAATAAACACTTTGCATTGGACTTCGTTCTAAAAATTAAGACGATGGGACATTTTTCTACATTATTTTAAATTACATGAAAATTGTTTTCCGGACACTTTTTTTGTTAGCTTGGCAGAAGATAAAATTTTATACCATTCCATATAAACATATTCATATACTCCGATACAAACATTTGGAACAAAATACGCTCAAAATCGTTAATATATATCGTACCAATTTGCTGTCTAATATTAGGGACATTGTAATATTTTTTTTAAACTAGTTGGTTTGGTATTTAGTCTTGAGGCAAGTTACATGAACTTCCCGATACGTTTAAATAATCGACTTAATCAATAAAAAATAAATTAATTTATGAGTGATTAAAAGTATTCCGAGTGGATTTATTACACATAATTGAAAACGAACGAACACTTTGAATCGGAGTATTTTCTAAAAGCAAATTTTCAAAAATCAATAATTTTTATAATTGAACTAGTTTCCAGGACTTTAATGGTTTATTATGTTCAAGACCAAGTACTCTATCATTATACCAAGTAAATAGTCTAATTTTAATTTTAACAAATGTCAAAAGAACTACTCATTTTCTCAAACTTTGATGAATTTTTAAAATCAAACTATTTGTCGTAAGGCCGTAATAATTCAGTAAGTTCTATAAGACCATGGTATATATCACTAAAAAAAAATCCATAGAAATCGGCTTAATTTTTTTTTTTTAACAGTTAATTACAAGAAAACGGCTCGGTAGATTTTCACCTAAAACTAATCAGTATCATTCCCAACTAATATCTTTCGAACAGTTTTTGATTTTTTAAAATCGGTTTGGTAGGATGAGCTTAAATGTGGACGAACAGTTTAACACTTTTTTTCAAATTGCAAAGAAACGGCTTGGCAGATCGTCGCACAAAATTAACAAACGAGAGTCCTCACCGAAATACATCAAATGGCTTTTAAATTTCTAACATCGGTTCAGGCGTTTTTAAGAAAACGTCGATCAAAACTCTAATTGTGACAAATGCCAAAAAAACGATACCAATTTTTGCAAACTTTGACGAATTTTTAAACCTGAACCAGTTGTCGTAGGGCCGTAATATTTTAGTATGATCTAGAAGACTATAGTATCTACCGTCAAAAAAATAATCATAAAAATCGTCGAAAATGTTTTTTTAAAAACTTTATCATAAGAAAACGGCCCGGCCGATCTCTACCAAAAACTAATCAGCACGATTCTCAACCAATATCTTTCGAACGGTTTTTGAATTTTCAAAATTGATTCAGAATTGCGGACTAAAACGTAGACGAAAAATTTTTCACTTTTCTGCGATTTATAAAGAAACGGCTTGGCCTATCGTCGCACAAAACTGACAAACGATAGTCCTCGTCGAGATAAATCGAATGGCTTTTAAATTTTTGAAATCGGCCCAGCCGTTTTCGAGAAAACGTCGATTTACGGCAAAAAATCTGTTCACACACACACACACACACATACTTTTTCCAAATTTGGTCTCATTTGATTCAGAATGGCTTGAAACGTCGAGAAAACATAAAATTAGCGAATCGGATTTTTTTATGAAAACCTAAACTTCTCCTTCGGGAAGTTAATAACTCAAAAATTTCGTTCTGGGCACTCTTTTTTATTTAGCTTACCAGAAAGTAGATAAAATTTACTATCACTCTAAATAAACAGATTTATATACTCTGATACAAATATTTGAAACAAAACTCGATCAAGATCGTTAATATATATCGTACAAATTTGCTGTGTATAATATTAGGGACATTTTTCTACATTTTTTTAAATGACATGAAAAATTTATTCTGGGTACTCTTTTCTATTTAGCTTAGCAGAAACTAGATAAAATTTATAACCATTTTATATAAACTGTTATAGAGGACTTGATACAAAATTTTTAAATAAAGCTAGTTTGAACGCGCGTTGGAATATTGTACAAGAATATGTTTTCAGGACCTTTTTCTAAATTTTTTTTCGGGGCTCTCTTTTTTATTTAGCTTAGCAGAAACTAGATAAAATTTACTATAATATAATATAAATTACCATTCATGTCACTGACAGTTTGCCTGAGAGCCTCCTCGACTTTTAACTTTTCTGCAGCGGTAAGATGCTTCAATAATTCATTCATTGTCAAAATTTGTTTATTCTGAGTATTATTGTGAATCAAGGGCTGTGTGCAATCCTGGCGAAGACTCAAGAAAGGTTGCAGAATCTATAATAAAAAATATCAATTAACTATTACTTATTAGTTGTAAGTATTGTTTACTGACACCGAGTTCTTAGTTGGGCTTACCGAGTTCATAGTTTTGATATCAAAAGAGCCCAAAGTCGATGTGAGGTCATACTTTCGTAACTTTTCAAGAAATATATCACACTTATCTTCATGTGCTTGTTTATAATAAAAACTTTCAATTTCCGAAAAGTCTAACCATATTTCTTGAATCTCTTGAGGCGGAATATCAATCTAAAATAAGAAATAAGAATTTTGTTTTGTCAATAAATTGAAAATGAGCAAAATTAACAATTAAGTCGTATACCTGATCCAGGACATCCTTTTTTTCTGTTCTCCACATAATTTTTCCAAGGATATCCAACAAAGGTTTGGAGTTTCCCAAGACGTAAGGCACAAAAAGTAACCATGACCAAGCGTCCTGGTTGCTGTAGGGCTCCAAACCGAGAAAATGTATTAGACCGTATAAATCTGCAAAAATATTTCACAAATAATAATATATAAAGTCTTGCAATAAATATTTATAACTTCAATTTGTAACACAGTATAAATATATTGACCAAGTGCATTTGTTTACATTTTGGACTGTAGCTCTAAAACTAATTTTAATATCAAATTATGTTATAGGACAAGTTTGTAGCAAGGTAAATTTTATTCAAATTTTTCATATTTCTATGTTTTTTAAAATGTTAAAGTCAAAATAATACTAGCCACAATGTTAATATGCTGATGTAGTGCATTTGTTTACGTTTTGGGTTGTAGCTCTCTCACTAATTTTAATATACAATTATGTTTTATGACAGGTTTGTAGCTAGATGAATTTCCTACAAATTTTTCATACACTATAAAATTGTACAAAACATATTTCTATTTATTAAACACCGTTAAAATCAAAAATTGTATATCACTAGCTACAGTATGAATAAACTGATCTAAATGTTTCAGGCTGTAGCTCTGTAACTACTTTTAATATACAATTAAGTTATATGGCAAGTTTGTAGCTAGATAAATATCCTGCAAATTCTTCATATAACATAAAATCGTACAATCAATATTTCTATTATTTAAATTGTGTTGCGGTCACCACAAGATACAGTTCTAATATACTGAACCAGTGCATTTTTATTATTTTTTGGGCTGTAGCTCTTTAACTAATTTTAATATCCAATTATGTTATATGGCAAATTTGTAGCTAGATAAATTTCCAACATATTTTTCATACACTATAAAATCATACAATAAATATTTCTATTTTTAAAAAAACGTTGAAGTCCTTAAAGTGTACATCACTAGTCGCAGTGTTAATATGCTTATCTAGAGCATTTGTTTACGTTTTGGGCTGCTGCCCTATAATAATTTTAATATACAATTATGTTATACGACAAGTTTCTAGCTAGATATATTTTCTACAAGTTTTTTATACACCATAAAATCATACAATAAATATTTATATTTTAAAATTCTATCTTAAATATATATATGTGTATGAAAATATATCTTTTCTCACCTTCGACAGTCTTCTGTATGGGTGTTCCAGTGACAGCCCATCTATTAACACTTGCCAAACATTTTGCAATCTGTGAACTGTGTTTTACAGCACTATCGACCATTTGTCCCTCGTCTAAGCAAATTCTCCACCACTGCAGAAACATAAGTGGTGAAGTCAGACGATCGTATCTTCTTGCATAACGACCAGTTCTATAAATAATAAAATTAGAACTACTTGCACAATGACAAATATTTTCATGAACAAATATGTACAAACCTGGAACTAGTTTCTCCCGAGCACGAACTATGATAAAATTCATTTTGCAGAATGTTGTAAGTTGTTAGCACTATATCGTAACTGGCCAAAGTTAATGGTGACACCCAACCGTGTTTTATACCCCGATATACAAAGTACTTTAACTTGTTCTTCTGTAAAAATAATGTATTAATTTGATTCTTCAATATATCAACTACACAATTAATTATTTATAACACCTTAATATGTCTCCTAATTTCATTTTCCCATTGTGTCGACAATGCTAAAGGTGACACGAGCAATGTTGCACCAGAAACAATCTTTGTCTGCAAATAAAATACATCTATAACATACTATTCGATGGTATAAATCTTATTACATACTTCGAATTTCCAGCATGCGGGACAAATATGTATGTCTTCTGGTTTAACTTTCAAGTCAACTTTATAAATGCATTTAAAGTGCTGCATTTTATCACAATATATGCACTGCACTATACTATCACTAATCTGATCTTTGCCGCAGACACATTGGAAATTTAAACCTAAATGTCCTGAAATAAATCACATTGATGAAAATGTAACATAAATATTTTTAGACACAAATTTTTACATTATAAACAAATTCAGACAATTTTAAACACATTCAGACGCTTTTAAACAAATCCAGACACTTTCAGACAAATGCAGACACTTTTAAGCAAATTCAATCACTTTTAAACCAATCTTGGCAAATTTAGACAAATCCAGACCATTTTAAAGCAGTCCAGACTATTTTAAAGCAATCCAGGTAATTTTGAAATAATTCAGACAATTTTGAAGCAATCGAGACAAATTTAAAGCAATCCAGGCAATTTTAAAGTAATCCAAACATTTTTAAAGCAATCCAGGCAATTTTAAAGCAATCCAGAACATTTTGAAACAATCCACACAATTTAAAATCAATACAGACCATTTAAAAGCAATCCAGACAATTTCAAAGCAATCCAGACAATTTTAGAGTAATCCAGACAATTTTAGAGCGACCCACATAATTTTAAAGCAATCCAGACAGTTTTAAAGCAATCTAGACCGTTTTAAGGCAATCTAGTCAATTTTAAAGCAATTTAGACCATTATAAAGAAATCCAGACAGTTTTAAAACAATCCAGATAGTTTTAAAATAATCCAGAGAATTCCAAAGCAATCCAGACAATTTTAGAGTAATACAGACAATTTTAAAACAATCCACATAATTTTAAAGCAATCCAGACAGTTTTAAAGCAATCTAGACCGTTTTAAGGCAATCTAGTCAATTTTAAAGCAATTTAGACCATTATAAAGAAATCCAGACAGTTTTAAAACAATCCAGATAGTTTTAAAATAATCCAGAGAATTCCAAAGCAATCCAGACAATTTTAGAGTAATACAGACAATTTTAAAACAATCCACATAATTTTAAAGCAATCCAGACAGTTTTAAAGCAATCTAGACCGTTTTAAGGCAATCTAGTCAATTTTAAAGCAATTTAGACCATTATAAAGAAATCCAGACAGTTTTAAAACAATCCAGATAGTTTTAAAATAATCCAGACAATTTTAAAATAATTCAGATAATTTCAAAGCAATCCAGACAATTTAAGAGTAACCCAGAAAATTTTAGAGAGATCCACATAATTTTAAAGCAATCCAGACAGTTTTAAAGCTACCCAGACCATTTTAAGGCAATCTAGTCAATTGTAAAGCATTTTAGGCCATTATAAAGAAATCCAGACAGTTTTAAAACAATCCAGATAGTTTTAAAATAATCCAGACAATTTTAAAATAATCCAGACAATTTCAGAGCAACCAGACATTTTTAGAGCAACCCACATAATTTTAAAGCAATCCAGATAATTTTAAAGCGATGAAAATAATTTTAAAACAATCCAGACAGTTTTAAAGCAATCCAGACAGTTCCCAACAAACCTAGACAATTTTAAAGCGATTGGCATTTTTTGAGCAATCCAGACCGTTTTAAAGCAATCCAGACAATTTTAGAGTAATCCAGACAATTTTAAAGCAATCCAGACAAATTTAAATGCATCCAGACAAATTTAAACGCATCCAGACAACTTTAAATGCATCCAAACATCATTATACAAATCCAGACATTTTTAAAACCAAAAAATCACATTAATCACAACAATTACTCTATTCATTTAGTCTTTAACATTTATTACCTTTCTCTGATTTTTCCAAATCCTTGAATTTCTTCTCAAATTTCTCATAAAATGCTTTAAGACTTCTATTCGTATATTTCCCAGAAAATTTGCCATTGCTTTTTCTCATCAGCTTGCTGAACAAAAAGTGCGAATGATAGGACGGAGATTGTTTTTGACTCAAAGTAAAATCAGTCTTTTTTAAAGTTTCTTCTAGCAATAATAAGTCTTCTTTATCATCACACCAATTCCTAATGAAAAGAAAACAGTGAAAATAAATAAACAAAATATTCATATATGGATAATGGATGCATTTAATACTTACATTACTTTTCGTGGGTTCATTAAGATTAATGATAAAACTTCCACGGATTTGCCCAAGCCCATTTCATCAGCCAAAATGCCACCAGTCGGCAAAGATTTTACAACAGGCTTAACACAAGTCAAGTATTGTAAATTTTCAGAGTAATAAATCAAAGTTCCGTCAGGTGATTCCAATTGTATATAGAGAGGATTTAGAATATCTAAAAACAGAAGCAATTAAACAATATAATCAAAATTATAATAAAAGTATAGTTTACTACCTTCGTTATCTTCGTTATATTCTCTATGAATCATCCATCTAACAGCATCCCCTTGATATCTTCTAAGGGTAGGTCTCAGGTATCGATGTTGAACACTCAACATGATATTTTCTGATATGCTTTCATCAGAGTGAAACTTTTTTAAGAACTCGTATATCACATTTGGATCTTGAGCATTTAATTGCTTGTCTTTCCATGCCGGAGTCTTTTCCTTATTAGCTAAAAAAAAAATAACAATAGTAAATAAAAGTACAATTTATTTCTTGGGCTAATTGTACAATAAATATTTCTTTTTAAAAAAACAGTTAAAGTCAAAATTTGTACATCACTAGGCACAGTTTAAATATGCTGATCTAGTACATTTGTTTACATTTTGGACTGTAGCTCTCTCACTAATTTTAATATCCAATTATGTTACATGACAAATTTGTAGCTACATAAATCTCCTACAAATTTTTCATACACCACAAAGTCGTACAATAAATAGTTATATTTTTAAAAAAATATTAAAAACAATATATATGCCACTAGCTGTGGTACAATACAATGAAGCGTAAGTGTTTTTTTTTATATTTTGTGCTGTAGCTGTCTCACTAATTTTAATATCCGATTATGTTATAAGAAAAGTTTGTAGCAAGATAAATTTTTCATAAATATTTCATACATATTAAAATCGTACAATGAATATTTCTATTTTTTCAAAATTGTTAAAGTCAAAATTTGTACATAACGAGGCACAGTGTAAATGCACTGATCTAGTGCATTTGTTTACGTTTTGGGCTGTAGCTCTTAAACTAAATTTAATATCAAATTAAATTATTAGAAAAAATTTCTAGCTAGATAAATTTCCAACATATTTTTCATACATCATAAAGTCGTACAATTAATATTTCATTTTTTTTTTTAATTATCAATAATAAAATTTCTACACAAGGCACAGTGTAAATATATTGATCTAGTGCATTTGTTTACATTTTAGGCTGTAGCTCTCTCACTAATTTCAATATCCGATTATCTTATATGACAAGTTTCTAGCTAGATAAATTTTCTACAAATTTTTCATACACCACAAAGACATATGATAAATATTTACATTTTTTAAAAAATGTTAAAGCCAATTAAGCCAATATATATATAGCCCTTGCTATGATACAATACAATGAAGCATAAGTATTTATTTACATTTTTTGCTGTAACTCTCTAACTAATTTTAATATCCGATTATATTATATGACAACTTTGTAGCTAGATAAATTTTCTTCAAATTTTTTATACACACTAAAGTCATACAAAGAATATTTCTATTTCTAAAAACCAGTTAAAGTCAAGAATTGTTTATCACTAGTACATTTGTTTACGTTTTGGGCTCTAGCCTTCTAACTAAATTCAATATCCGATTATATTATATGACAAGTTTGTCGCTAGATATATTTTCTACAAGTTTGCCATATACTATAAAATCGTACGATAAATATTTCTACTTTTTTTTTAATGTTAAAGTCAAAATGGGCTAAAACAGTAATAGTTTTGACCTTACTAGTGTCTTTAGAGAGATTAGACTTTCTTTTAATCATAACTAATAGGTGTATATTAGAAAAAAGAAAAATCCAACATATACATATTGATTTTAGGAAAAAATAACTATCAACGTCACTAACTAAATAAAATAACTTATAGCCCAAAATGTGAAAAATTGCATTAATTCAGTTGGTTATTAATACTGTGGCTAGTAATATACAATTTTCGAGTTTAACAAGTTTTTAAAAATAGAAATATTTTTTGTATGACTTTATTGTGTATGAGAAATTTGTAAAAAATTTATCTAGCTAGGAACTTGTCATATAACATAATTGTATATTAAAATTAATTAGAGTGCTACAGCTCAATAATTTAAAAAATGCTTGGGTTCAGTATATTAGAACTGCTTCTTGTGGTACTTATTTATAACAATTTTTTAATAGTGAAAATTGAAAAGAGTAAAAATAAAATAGTTTGAAATGTAAAGTTTGTATTTAAAATTTGTCTAAGTAACAAATATAATCGTTTATATTAAATATATAAACAATATGTCCTGCATATTATTTTATATATCTAAATATCTATTTTATTACAAATGCTTTTTTACAATTTTATTGTTAAATTAATTTTTGTACAAAAAAGCTAAATCAATCGTGTCATATGTCCTTTATTACTTCAAAATAATAAACTGTATAACAATTTTATGTAAATCATAATTAACAAACTGTTAATTCGATTCAATTGATAAATGTATAATTTTTTTTTGCCATACCTAATATCTGCTCCTTATAAAAATAATTAATAATACTGTCAAGTTTTGCATTGCACTTGATATAATCGCATTTCCATATTACTTTGATATAAACGACATTCTTTTCTGATTCTGTGGGTTCTACAATATCAAACTCAAATCCTTTGGTTTCAGCAATACCTGAAATTGAACGAGAGACAATAATTTTAGACAAAAATCTTATATTGAATCTTAATATACTGAAAATATTGTAAATGTTCTGAAAATGCTGTAAATGACCTAAAAATGTTATATAAGTCAGTGTAAGTCGTCTAAAGATATTCTAAACTGCATGTGTGTAAGTTTACTATTAATATTTATTATAATTTAGTCTAAGTCTTTTGTGATATGTATTTATAAGTTAGTATATTCTAACAGATTGAGATAGATAATAGTAAATCTTATGTTAAACATTCTTCATAGACATAAGGTAAATGATTAATATACTTACACATAAATACATGTCGGAGCTTTTGATCTATTTTAAAACTATCCGAGACTACTAACAAGTTATTATCACAATCATCTTGAGTTATTTGTATTTCTTTCGGTTTATTAAACAAATTGATGCACGTGTTTAAGGTTAGGACAGGTTCTATAGGAATGTTACCGATGTAAATCGACATTATTACGAACTCTGTATTTTTATATCTTTAACTAACAGTGGCAGCATTTGTAGTCTATTTTTACGAGAAATTATTCATAAACATTATTTTGCAAAACGAATTTAAGCGAAACAACGCTGGAAGCCATAACTGTCGAAGTAGGTTTACAAAAATGGCACTGAAGTGTAGATGCAAATAACGACTTTATTTAAAAAAATAATAAAATAAAAACTATAAAAATCATTATCGGATATGAATAAGGATTAAAAATAGAAACTTTTGCATCTTTTTATTTGAAGGGTTCTACAAAATCTATTAAGGAAACAGAAACGACAAATTTAATAACAATGTTTATTTATTGTTTATTTAATAACAATTATTATTATATTGTCTAGGTTATCTATGATCGCAACTGTCAAAGTATGTTCACAAACAAGACACCAGAATAGAAGCGCTAGTGTAGTTCCAAAAACATTTTCATCTCAAACTTCAAAATAAAACTAACACGTAAAAATATAAATATATTTCAATTACCATGGCGGATGATGATTTGGACAAAATTCGTCAACAAAGACTTGCTCAATTGCAAGCACAATACGGGGTATGATAAAACAAAACTACATTTCGAAAATTCGTTATAACCTCAACTTTGAAACATCTGAACACATTTTAGGGCGGAGAAGGTCTCGAAAAACAAAAGGCTCAAGAAGAACAAGTTAAGGCTGCAGAGGATGCTAAAAATTCCATTCTGGCACAAATATTGAGCCAGTCTGCACGAGCACGATGTAATTAAAAATAGATAGTAGTTAACCTCAAAATGATGGACAATTGTTGTTTGGCAGTTGCAGTCCTATTTATGAGGGGCCCGAGTAAAGGACATATGTCCATGTTTTGAAGGGTTCATTAATTATTTATTAGAGACTCTCCTAAAACTTTATAGATATCTACATTGTGACTTGTATTAGTTGTACAACTGAAGGATAGTTGTCATTTAATGGTCATTTTATGAAGTCTTGTTTATGAAAGGCTTCTTTAGAATTTGATAGAGAACAAGAAAAGAAAATTATATCTGTTTTATTCAACTAAAAAGAAAGAGAAGACGAGTGCATTTTATGAAAGTGTTGTAAATGGTCCAAAAAGTTGTGAATGTGGTCTAAAAAAGTTGTAAGCCTAAAAATATTGTAATCTGTCAATTATCTTATAATTTTACCTCTTATTTCAGTGAATACAATAAAAATTAGCAAACCCGAAAAAGCTCAAATGGTCGAACAGATGCTAGTGCGCATGGCCCAGAATGGACAGCTACGTGGCCAAATCGATGAACCTCAATTGATAGAACTCTTGCAAAACGTAAACCAGCAAATGCCCCAAAAAAAGACAAGCGTGAAATTTGACAGGAGACGTGCTGCCTTAGACTCTGATGATGAATTCTGATTAAACCTGTCTTGTGTTCAATAAAACTTGCAATTGCTTTTTATATTATATATAATTCATTGTTGACTAGATCATACATAAAAACCATACAAAATGTAATGAACTCTTGGCTCTTATTCTTTCTTTTCATGGCCGTCATCTGAAATTTGAAATTGCATTGATATTATTTAATATAAGAGATTAAGGATTAAGTTTAAATGTATTAAATGAATAAATATGATTAAAATACCATTTTCGCTGTCTTCTTCATCGGCATCTAGAATATCAGCACAGCATATGGAGTAGCATATCAATCCGAGAAATCCACAGGGTAATCCGAATAATACAGCAGTTAAGACAGGATTTCCATGCCACATATCGGAAAGGGTTGTTCTGGCTTCAAAATATGCTCTATACATTCGAACAGGAAAACTATTGCCGCCATAGGTCTGAAAATATTTATATACTTTATCAGTAATAAAATTATAATTATAAAAATTAATTATTGATTGAAATTTAAAAATACTTTTACCTGTATAAATTGTATAAAAATATATTTTAATGTATTTGAGAAGATAGAAGATGTGTTTTTGCTTTATAATGTCTTTTGTTAGCGTATTCAAATATTTACAGTAATAGCTCTATTAAATTTAAATTATACATCATTAATAGAAATAAAATCAAAGGAATTTGAATTTAGAAAAAACAGCACTATTGGGAAGATATATGGGGAAAAAAATGGGCAAGGAAGTTGTACATATAAAAGTGCTGTTCAACTCATTTTATTCAAAATTTTGATATGCAAGTGTATATAACAGTATGTACAAGATTTTAAAAAATTTTGTCTAGTTTTTACTAATGTGAACAAATTATTATGTCTGGGAAGAAAATTTAAAGTTATTTGAAGAAATGTAAGAAAATGCACTAAATCCATGTATTGAAAATTATCCAAATATTATAATCTGCACTTCAACTACAAATTAATCAAAATTTTGACATACAAGTGTGAACAACAGTTTTTACTAGATTTTAGTACTTTTTATCTAGTTTTTACTAATATTAACGAATTATAAGAAGAAAAGGGGAAGAAAATTTAAAGTTATTTGAAAAAAATGTACTAAAATCATATACGTATAGCAAATTATGGAAATACCAAAGTCCGCATTTCAACTACGAATTATTCAAAATTTTGATATCCAAGCATGTATAACAATTTTTACTAGAATTTAGAAAATTTATTTAGTTTTTACCAATGTGAACAGATTATAATGTTGGGGAAGAAAATTTGAAGTTATTCTATCCAAAGTAAAAAAATATTCTATTGCAAATCATCAATGTCGCATTTCAACTACGGATTATTTAAAATTTTAATATCCAAATGTGTATAACAGTTTTTACTAGATTTCAGTAAATTTTTATCTAGTTTTCACTGATGTAAACAAATTATAATGTCCGAAAAGTAAATTAAAAGTTATTTGAAGAGAAGTAAAAAATTGTTCTAAATTCATATAGAACAAATTATCCAAATACTAAAGTCCGCATTTCAACTAAGAATTATGCAAAATTTTAATATTCAAAGTGTATAAAATAGTTTTTACTAGATTTTAGTAAATTTTATCTAGTTTTTTCTAATCTTAACAAATTATAATGTCCGTAAAAAAAATTTGAAGTTATTTTAAGAAAAGTACGAAAGTGTACTAAATTCATATAATGCAAATTATGGAAATATTAAAGTCCGCATCAACTACAAATTATTCAAAATTTTGATAAACAAGCTTGTGTAATTTTGATAAACAAGCTTGTGTAATTTTGATAAACAAGCTTGTGTAACAGTTTTTACTATATTTTAGTAAATTCTATCTAGTTTTTACAAATGTAAACAAAATAAAATGTTCGAGAAGAAAACTTATAGTTATTTGAAGAAAAGTTCAAAAATGTACTAAATTCATATAATGCAAATTATGGAAATACTAAAGTCCGCATTTCAACTACAAATTATTCAAAATTTCTTTATCCAAGTGTATAAAATAATTTTTACTAGATTTGAGTAAATTTTATCTAGTTTTTACTAATGCAAACAAATTATAATAAAATTTAAAGTTATTTGAAGCAATGTAAAAAAATGTCCAAAAATCAGAACTGCATATTATTAACACACTAAATTTGGTATTTCGACTACGAATTTATCAAAATTTTGATATACAAGTGTATAAAATAGTATTTACTAGATTTTAGTAATGTTTTTCTAGTTTTCATTTATGTAAACTAATTATAATGTCCGAAAAGAAAATTAAAAGTTATTTGAAGAAATGTAAAAAAATGTTCCGAAATCATATAATGCTATAGAAATACCAAAGTCCGCATTTCAACTACAAATTATTCAAAATTTCAATATCCAAATGTATATAACAGTTTTTACTAAATTTTAGTAAATTTCATCAAGTTTTTACTCATATAAATAAATTATAATGTGCGGGAAAAAAATTTATAGTTATTTAAATTTAAAGTTATTTAAAGAAATATAAAAAAATGTCCAAAATTCACAACTACAGATTATTAAAACACTAAATTCCGTATTTCGATTGCAAATTATTCAAAATTTTAATATGCAAGTGTATAAAATAGTTTTCATTAGAAATTAGTTAATTTTATTCAGTTTTTACTAATGTAAATAAATTATAATGTCCGGAAAGAAAATTAAAAATTATTTGAAGAAATATAAAAAAAATATCCTGCAAATTATGAAAATACAAAAGTCCGCATTTCAACTACAAATTATTCAAAATTTTGATATCCAAGTATGTATAACAATTTTTACTAAGTTTTAGTAAATTTTTATCTAGTTTTTACTAATGTGAACAAATTATAATGTCCGAGAAGACAATTAAAAGTTATTGGAAGAAATGTGAAAAAATGTTTCAAGTTCATATAATGCAAACTACGGAAATACTGAGGTCTGTTTTTCAACTACAAATTATTCAAAATTTTGATATACAAGTGTATATAACAGTTTCTACCAGATCTTAGTAAATTTGATCTAGTTTTTACTTATATAAACAAATTATCATGTCAGCAAAGAAAATTAAAAGTTATTTAAACAAATGTAAAAAAATGCCCAATTTTTACATATATTACCAGAAGGTAAATGTTCTAACAAGTTTTATTCAAAATTTCATTATGTAAGTATGTACAAGAATTTTCACTAGTTTTAGTAAATTTTATCTAGTTTTTGCTAATAAATACAAACTAAAATGTTTGGAATGAAAATTTTGCGTGGTTTGAAAAAATGTAAAAAAAAATGACCTAGTTGCTAATTATCAAACACATAAATAAACATCAAAAAGCTAAATCAATCAAACAAAAACTATCATTTAAATCTTTCAATATCAATTTAAATCAATATCATTTAAAATTGGTACCATTCAAACGTGAGAAATACTCTCACCAGCATTTGTGATAAGTGTTTTTATCCTCCTCGCTTAAAGTGTATCAAAATCTACTTACAGGAGCAGATTGGTTTCCATTTGTTCCAAAAACACAACAAGTGCATCGTGTGTCAATCTAGTGGTTCGTCTTGTGGCAAAATGATGATGACTCGTTGTTGAATTAAGAACCAAAGATGAGGTACTGGCAGATCGCTCATGGCTATTGAATTGGCCAACTCTGGAGACCCGATCCAGCCAAATTGGAAAGTGGAATGGAATTGTTCGCGACGTTGCCTAAAAAGATAATAAAAATATTATTTTTAGTAGAGTAGTTTCTTTAGATATTTTTAATATCATTTATGATTATTACCTTATCACAGATTCAACCATATCACGGAACTCCAACTGATTGGCCTCAATTTCATTCAATTTGTTCTCTTCAACAACTGCAAGTACGATGTACTTTTTGGTTTGTAATATTTGATTGATGTTACCTCGAGTGACCTTCGGGAATGTTCCAAATCTCTCTTCATTCACCCATTGATACAGAGTCTCATTGAGTATTGAGCTGCTGAAAGAGTCATCTGGAAAAAGTAGAATATTAGTCCTGAAATATAATGAAATGAAATAATATGGTAAATTACATGTAAATTTGTAGTGATCCTTTTCCTTTATTACAAACACTGTTGGTGCGTGGTCTTCAATTAACGGAAAGTGTTCTTTTGTAACTTCAGGAGATGCAGCGTAAAAAAAGCAATGCGGTTGGAACACCTCAGATATCGAATGGAATGATTGCTGCAAAATAATGCTCAATACATAATTGGCTGAAGTGAATTATTTTAATATATTAATTTTTTATACCCATAAGGCTCCATTTTGTTTTCCAACATATACAAAGAAAACATTAACAGAATTTTTCAAATTAGTTAATACTTCGTGTCTTGGAATTACTTGTACAGAGGGACCCTTCATTCTATGAGCAAATGCTAAGAGTTCCTCTTTTGTTCTGTCTCCATGGTAAATGTGATCTTGTTCGCCTTTCAAGCTGTAAATAAAATTGCCAAAAATTAATCATATTGATTAAAAATTAATTATATTGGTCAAAAGTAGACGACAATTGCTAAAAATAGACTAAAATTGCCTTGAAATTTTATTAAATCTACTTACAACATGATAGTCGGAAACCCTTGCACTTTAAATTTAGTTGCAATATGTGTGTATCTGGTACAATCCAATCTGCCGACTCTTATAGTAGTATGGTGCAAGGCTTGTGCAACATGTGCCCAAACTGGTTCCAGTCGTTTGCAATGGGCACACCATGGAGCGTAAAACATAACTAACCACTGGCCATCGTTACGAAGGTCTACAAATCTATCACTTAGTTCTAATACTCTGGAAGAAGTAGTAGTATGTAGTAATCCTAAAAGAGAAAATAATTATTACTCACAATCCTTGATACAAACTTGATTAACTCAAACTTAAAATAATACATGTTAATATATACTAAATGAATATTGAGTAGAAGCAACAATTTAAACTAAAAAGTGAGGTTATGTTATATTGATTTTTGCATATTTTTTTAAATTCTTACCACATAGTGCCAGCACTAACACAATATTTAAAAGCATACATTTTGCCTAGTATTAACATCATTCAAAGCATTTACAATGTGTTTAGAAAGCTTTCTTCTTCATGTTTGCTAATTTAAGAATGTGTACAGTAAACTAATAATCCATCTGCTATTTTCCATTTGCACATGTTTTAATTTAATCGCAACATAATTATTTATAACTGTGTTGTTAATATATCAAAAGATATACAGATTTTCTCATTTATTTAAATATTGATGCAGAAACACAAACCAATGTAAACAATACAGACAGCTTGTGAGTAAATTCAATAAGTAAATGTCAAAAACCTAAAGCTCTTTCCGCACCAAATTTGGGTTTAAATTTTTAACTCAGGCTATGTATTTAATCTAATTTTAAAATGAAATGGAGAAATATTGATGTCTGATTATTCAATTTGTCAAAAAGTTAATAATAAATAAAAATACATATTTCAAAATTCTAATTATACAACATAATTTGTGTGTAAAGAGCCTTCAAAACAGTGTCATCTATCCACTAAAAGCTACAAACTCACAAAATGTCATTCACGTTTTGTCAACTGAAAAATAAATAAAATATATGTCAATAACAAATATCTAAATGGATATTACAGAACTATTTAAAGCTGTGTCAAAACAGTTCAACCCCGAAACCAAGGTTTCGGAGTCCCTGAACAACAAAAAGTCAAAAACAGAATCCTAACCAAACGTGGCAAAACCGATTTCATGTTCCAAGCAAAAGAGATAACATTCCAAATAACAAAACTACGTGATATCCTTTTAGAAAACAGAAATGCCTACATACATTTCGGAAACCACATAACAGACCTAGTCCTAATGACAGACGGTGAACGAGACCTCATTGATGCAACTGCTCAAAGAATAATCAACACTTGCATAAACTCCTTGTCTGATTTAAAAAAAAGATTAGTTGTGCCCATTAAAAATGTAAAGTTTAGCCGTTTTCGAGTTTTAGCGGATCATTTCATCGAGAGCTCCATTTTTATATATAAGATATATATATATATATATATATATGATTTGTATTTTTCCTTTTAGTTAGTAAATGGCGTAGTTCAAGAAAGCTTTTGAGTCCTGCATTTAATTTGAAGTTGCTAGAAGGATTTGTTCCGGTTTTCCAGCAACAAAACAAAGTAAAAATATAGAAGTAAATAAATAAAAGAGATTATTTTTATTGTAACAATATAAAAATGAAAATTTAAGATAAATGTCACAAATAATATTTTGTATTGTGTTTAGTTACATCACTAGAAGTGAACTTTGAAAATGATTTATATCCAATTTATTCTTTACAAACTTGTTTGAAAATTTTGGAATCTTTTAAAAATGATTGAAAGTTCCGGAAAAAGTTTTTAGATTAAAGCCTGATAGATACGTTATTTTTAGGATCTTATTTACGAAAATCAATTATTGGACGATTAAATTTTGTATTCAAATTTCGCGCCGCTCTATAATGAATTGAGTGGATGCACGCAGATTTCATTTGAGAAGAAGTTAGGCGCACAAGGCTCCAGAGTTTGTCATCGCTGTTATTCGTGTTACTGGGGCTCATCTGAGAATTGGAGCACACCTGGCACAGAAGGCTATGTCGCACCTTATACAATAACAACACAAGACACTGTCATACAAGGGTTTGGAGCACCGGAGTGGCGTGAAAGCGGTATTTACGACAGTTGTAACTTGTAAGGTAAGGTACAAATAGAATAAGTTAATTAATGTACATGTTATTTAGCATATGTCACGTTTAAATGCTCTTACGAATATTAGTACCCCATCACTGTCTAGGTCGGTAGATTCAAATCCAGCATTAGATGTAAAGTTACCAGAGATCACGTTACCCAAGTTCAACGGTGATTATAGTGAGTGGACCCAATTTATTAGATCTTTATAACTTGTTAATTCACAATAACACAAAGTTGCCGCAAGTCCAAAAGTTGCACTCTCTAAAGGGAGCTCTACTATCGTCTGCTGGAAAACTAATGTCATTTTTAAGCTTAACGAATGGGATTTACACCGAGGACGGCCTATGAGCTACTGTGTAAGACTTATGACATTAAATTTTAAATACTGAATTCCCATTTGCAGCAGATCGACAACATACCACAGATACACAAAGGAACAGGCACAAAGTGCGAGGCAACAAATACGTGCTCTTTCAACTGTATATGAACCAACTAAACATTAGGATCTTATTCTGTTGTATATGCTGAACAAGAAGGTTGACAGCCATACTCGCATGGCATGGCATGGAATTTGTCCAGGAATGGAAAGTTCTTCTAACGGTAAATCAATTTTTTTCCTTTCTGGAGCTGCGGGTTTGTGCCTTAGAGAACTCATTCAAATTAGAAAGTAGACCCATTCAGGGAAATTCTAAAATGGTTCATGTTAGTACAGTGAAAAGGGTAGTATCTCCGTGTTGTTGTTGTAAGGGAAGTCATCCATTGTACAAATGTTCCAAGTTTAAGGAGTTGGAGATTTCAGGGCGCAAGGATCTGGTGTTAAAGCATTCACTGTGCACTTGTTGTTTACTTCCTGGACATGATGCTAAGACGTGTAGTTTTAAAGGTGCTTGCTATAGATGTAAAGAGCCCCACAACACTTTAATTCATGATGAAATAGTTCTTCGTCACCATCAACTAGCCAACTCAATTCTGGCAACAATATTCTTTTAGCTAGTCACAATAACATACAAACTTTTCTTTCCACAGTCTCTCGATATGAATGAATTTGATAGTTATATATCTATTATTAGTATTATACTTTTTTGCAGATTTTACCTGAAGCCAAGTACGTCGAATTGTTACTCATTTGTATTTAGAAGACTATTGGAATCCTGAGAAGCGTATCAGAAATTTGAAGTTAAGGTAATTATACTATTATTTTGTTGTATGGTTTCATTTGGTTGTAGTTAATAAAATCATATAGATCTTAAAAATATTACACTTATTTCACAAATTTTGTAAATATGTATTATTTAAAGAAATTGGGATTGATTTGATTATTGTTTTACATTATATTTAGTACATTTATTCACTGAACAACCTGTGTCTCTTCAGCACATCAGGCTACTGGCAATTTATATGCATTTGGATTGAGTATTTGTGAATAAAAATTAATTTGATTTATTTTATTGATTTATAATAATAATTATTTCTTTCAGATGTTTGTCCAATTGGCGTCATGTTAATACTTTAAACCTCTTTGGAGTCTTGCAAACTTTACATTTTAGTACTGATATTTGTTCAAATTTCAATTGCTGTAGTGTTTATTAGAAAATAGTATTATTACAATGTTAAAGTTTTGTGTGTGAAGTGATTTTTGTGATACATTCCAAGGAGTTTTTATTATCGGAGTATGGATGCTGACTTTCAGCTAATCAAGAATGATTGTAAGGCGCTGTGGTAAGTGATATTTATTTAAATGGCATGCTCATACATAATACGATCACACCAAATTCGCGGAAATATGATTGATTTCAAGAAGTGAAGCCAATAACACGTATTTATTTCAATTTAATCATGTTTACGCTATTGTCTTATAATGTTATTTATAGCTGATAACATTGGCATATTTTCATCACATGTAAACGATTCCTAATTTCTCTAAAAGTTTTCACACTTTTTTTAAGTTAGTTTCATACAAATTAGTTTTCTTTTATGAATTTGTTAAGGAATTCGCGATTTAGCCTTTTATTTTGATACTTTCTTGCAAATTGGTTTCTTTTTATGAATTAGTTAAATGTTTTAGATATCTGTACGCCTTTTCTATTCATTCAGTATTTGTTTATTAACTTCCCGTAGGGTAAGTTATTGTAATGGGCCGAAAATCGGAATTGAAAATTTTTACATTTCTCGACGTTTTGAAGGTTTCTGAACGTTTTGGCATACCTCAGAAAAAATGGATGTGTGTGTGTGTGTGTGTGTGTGTATGTATGTATGGATACAAATTTTCGTCCACGTTTTCGGGCGTACGGATCAACCGATTTGAATGGTTTAAAAAACATTCGATTCCTATTAATAAGGAGAAGAGCTGATTAGTTTTTGGCAAAGACAGGTCCAGCAGTTACGGAGATAAGGAGCAAAGAGTGCAGAAAATAGAAATCGAGTTTTTGAGAGAACGGAGCATCCGATTTGAATGATCTAAAAAACATTCCATTAGTAATGATTGGGAAAAAGAGTAATTAGTTTTTCGCAAAGGCAGGCCCAGCCATTTCGGAGATACAGAGCTAAATGTACAAAAAATGGCAGTTTTTGAGAGAACTAAGCGTCCGATTCAATTGATTCAAAGAACTTTCTGCTTGTCTTAACAAAATAATTGATTTTGGAAAAAAAATTTTGTACCATCTTTTTTTTTTTTTTTTTTTTTTTTTTTTTTTTTTTAAATTTTTGTATATCGAAAATAATTCAGATTTTATTTTTATTTCTGACTATAGTTCTAATATACTTTAAACAAATAATTTCAACTCTGCAATTCAGTTTATATAATTATTATAAATATTAGACAATAATACAATATTTATAATAATCTATTTGAAAACATTCAATATTCCTCGAACGTTTCGTTACGGTACGGGAAGTTCCAGCAATTTGCCTTAAGGCACGATGCCACCCACCCCACTAGTTTCACAATAATATTACTGAGTAGTTATTAATTAAACAATAGACCCAATATTAGTATTTGCTTCGATTAAATTGTTTTCAAATTTTATATTAGAACGCATTTGCATGCATGTTTTTCATAACATACGTTTAAAATTAGATTGAATGACTTTGATTACTACTTTGATCATTTAATTAACTTCCCGTAGGGTAGTTATAATAATGGGCCGAACATCGGAAATGAAAATATTTGCATTTTTCGACGTTTTGGAGGTTTCTGAACATTTTAAGGCATACCTCAGAAAATTAATGGATGTGTGTGTGGGTGTGTGTGTGTATTTCGTATGTCCGCATTTTTTCGTCCACGTTTTCGGGCGCACGGATCAACCGATTTGAATGGTTTAAAAAACATTCGATTTCTATTGATAGGGAGATGTGCTGATTAGTTTTTGGCAAAGGCAGGTCAAGCCGTTACGGAGATATGGAGCAAAGAGTGCAGAAAATAGAAATCGAGTTTTTGAGAGAACGGATCATCTAATTTGTATGATCCAAAAAACATTCAGTTCGTAATGACGGGTAAAAGTGGTTATTAGTTTTTGGCAAAGGTAGGCCCAGCGGTTTTGGAGATACAAAGCTAAATGTTAAAAAAAATGACAGTTTTTGAGCGAACTAAGTGTCGGATTTGCATGATTCAAAGAACTTTCTGCTTGTTTCAACAAAATAATTGCTTTTGCAAAAAAAAAATTGTTTCTAATATTTTTTTTCAAGAAATATTTTTGTACTTTTGGATTAAAAATTCAAAAAATGACCCAGGCTAAGCACATTCTAAGCGCCACTCTGGTGCAAATGTTTACCCAAGTGCGTTTAGACTGTTTATGTACTGGAGCACTTTTACAATTCGAATTTTGTGAAAACTATTGAAAAATGTGAAAATGCCGTCAAGCTAAGCACAGTATAAGTGAAAATGTCGCACAGAATTATTTACATTAGACTGTGTGTGACTATACGGGAACACTTTTTCAATTTTGTGTAAATTAGGCAGCTATTTTTATTTGAAATTGAATTTGAAATGAAATGACGAACGATTGTTAATGTTCTGGAGATAAATTGATTTATGGTTCACATTTGATTTTGAATGCTCAGATATGACAAGATAGCAAAATTAATGAAAGTTACAGTATTTGTAATAATATATTTGAAAACGTTTCAAATTTTTCGAATATTTCATTACGGTACGGGAAGTTCCAGCAATTTGCTTTAAGGCACGATGCCATACACCTCTAGTTTACTTTTGTCTGTTAAAGATCTATAAATGCATTCGCAACAATTTGTTTTACAAAACTTCACTTTAAATGCAGAATAATTGGAGTGTTACATAATTCCATATCTGTAGATAATAATCTGTCCGAATTTATAGAGAGCAAATCAAACAAAAGAACCGGTTTCATACATTCATACATATTCAATTCAACATTTACAGTCCGTTTACAATACATAAAATTAAATGCACGTTAATTATTTGTGTATATTTGTAGTAATTATTGAATTAAATATATGAATGTAAATATGATTAATTGATGGAACTTATCATTTGCGAGCAATCAAATCATTAATTAAAATGTTTCATGTTTCGACGATGATGATTCATGACGAACAAATTTAATTTTGCCTTAAAAATTATCTTATTTATCAATTTTTATATGAAAGTAGTTGAATTTTTAGTATTGTTATAAAAATTAATTTATTGAACAATTTTACGAAACATCTGATCATGCTAAAATACATATCATTAGCAGTGATGTGATTCGATTGATAAATTTGAAAATAAAATCAGTTTTCATGAAATTTACTTTATAAAATGGCTACTATTTTCAATTATGTGACAGTCGATTTACTTTTGCTATTAAAAAACGTGCAGGTAATTTAATTTTAAAAATATTTTATTAAATTAATTTTTATATGCCGACCTAAACAATATGACTTAATAATGAAAATTTCATAATTTAACAATTTCTTTATATCATACTTGACAATTTATTCGTCTTTATCAGCGAAATAAAATAGTTAATTACAAATTATAGCCATGAAAATAATCAATTCCTCGAATGTATATTATTATCTACCTGAAATAATTTAAATAATTTTTGATTTCAATTAAGATTTTGCAAGGTTCATAATTTTAATGTTATTTAATGGATTTCAATGATTTTGCATTTTTAATCAGTTCCAACATAGTTTTTAATTACTTGCAATTTATTACCGTAGTCCGAGAAAAACCTCGGGCAATTAAATGATTTAACAATAAATATTTTGTAATTTAACATATATTTTCTCATCTTACATTTGATCATTGATTTCTAGATTATTATTATTTTCCAATCCGTTTCAATACTTTTTAGACGATTTTTATAACGAAGATGAAACCATTTGTCGTCTAGCTTATTAGGAACCCTGTATATATTTTGTTTTGAAATAAAAATAAAATGTTAACTTCAATAAGCTATTTAGTAAATGAAATCTTTTCTTACCGAAGTAGGTATTTCGTATTCCGCCTCTGAAAGTTGATCGCAAACTAAACTTCCCTGGCAAATGGTTCAGAATCTGAACAAAGTTTTTTTTTATGGTACTGATCTATTAAATAATGATTTTAAAATTTGTTTATTCTGAATTTCTAATGTCTTTTTTATCTAAAGAAATTTTAGAACTTTTATTTAATAGATCAGTATCATTGAAATCTTCTATTGTAGCAACATACTGAAATTTGAAACATATTAATTCATCGGAAGAAACGCGTTTTAATTTGTTTAATAATAATGTCGATTACTCGATCAAACATATTCACTTTGAACAAACTTTCAATATCCTGAATATAAATTTGCAAATCTTGTCAAAGTAGCGTATTACCTTCTTCTGACGAGTTTTAAAAAATTCATGATTGATAAATCATTTTTCTACTAACTACACTATTTGCGTCTAATTTGAAATTTCCAAATTTATGCCAATATCTTTCTAATTCTTAACAATTTTTTTTTAAATGTTTATAGCATTTGAAAGATTGGTGGCTTTAGATTATAGAACTATAAATGTGGCGTCGATAGTAGTAGAATATTACTGTTTGTTAGGTTTGATTGATTTTTCGAAGGACCAATGATTTGTTGTAAAACACTTTATTTGTAATATTAATTACGTGTTTATTAACTTCCCGAAGGAGAAGTTTATGTTTTCATCAAAAGATCCGATTTGCTAATTTTATGTTTTCTCGACGTTTCAAGCCATTCTGAATCGAATGAGACCAAATTTGGAAAAAGTATGTGTGTGTGTGTGCGCGCGTGTGTGTGAACAAATTTTTTGCCGTAAATCAACGTTTTCTCAAAAACGGCTGGACCGATTTCCAAAATTTAAAAGCCATTTGATGTATCTCGATGACGACTTAAGATTTATGAGTTTTGTGCGACGATCGGCCAGGCCGCTTCTTTGCAAATCGCAGAAAAGTGAAAACTTTTTCGTCCACGTTTAGCCCGCAATCTGAATCGATTTTGAAAATTCAAAAACCGTTCGTAGGTATTTGTTGGGAATCGTACTGATTAGTTTTTGGTATAGATCGGCCGGGCCGCGTTTTCTTGTAATAAAGTTTAAAAAAAAAAATTTCGACGATTTTTGTAATTTTTTTTGCGGTACATACCATCGTCTTCTAGATCATACTAAAATATTACGGCCCTACGACTATCGGTTTAACTTTAAAAATTCGTCAAAGTTTGCAAAAATTGGTATCGTTTTTTTCGCATTTAATCGACGTTTGCTTAAGAACGCCTGAACTGATTTTAGAAATTTAAGTCATTCGATGTATCTCAATGAGCACTATAGTTGCTCAGTTTTGTGAGACGATCTGCCAAGCCGTTTCTTTGTAATTTGAAAAAAAGTGTTAAACTTTTCGTCCACATTTAAGCTCATTCTACCGAATCGATTTAAAAAAAAACTGTTCGAAAGATATTAGTTGGTAATGATACTGATTAGTTTTTGGTGAAAATCTACCGAGCCGTTTTCTAAAGTGTAATTTTTGTATTGATTGATTTAATTTTATAATAATTTTTGATTTAGATATTTGATTTGTTTCTATATCAATATATCGGATGCTTCGATTTTGGTGTTACAAATTACAATGGAAAAACCAATAACAAAATAATTGTAGTTTGCAAACTTCTTTTTATGCGAAAAAGGCTCATTTTGGATTTCAACAAAACGACGTTTTGAAGCAAGAATGGCATCAGAGAATGTCCTGCACATCTAGTAGTCTTAAATATTTTTAATGTTATTGAAATTGCTCACACGCTTTCTTTATTAGATTCAAATCTAGATAAAATATTCCGTCTTTTTATATTATGTCTAAAATAATTAAAAATTCATAAACGATTCAAGTGATTAATTAAAGAATATATCAGTATCATAAAGAATCAGTCAGTCTGTTTTTATCCTTCTGCATGAACGGTTGTGTTATTATTACATAAACTTTTAACATAAATTCTACAGAAAAAGAGTTTCTATATATGTCGATTGAAATAAAAAAAAAAATTATAATATAATTTTACGTCGCAGTCTGCCGACAGACAGAAGCGCTGCGCCGATTATGCAAAGCTGAGGACAGAGAAGGACAAATGTATTATGCAAATGTGCGATTGTGCTCGAGCACTATTTCGCACTCTATTCCACGTATAAGGATTACTGCGCAGGACAAGGACAAAGATATGTCGCGGGCGCAGGCCACGCCCATCACCTATCACCTAGTTGCTCTCCCCACCACTCGAATCGGCCTGCCATTGCGAGAGGATATCATTTCGTTTTCGACTCCGGCGGTGTACGGTGTACGGTGTACGGCTAGAAGGGTCTCGGCGAAATGGACGTAGCCGACCGGCTTGTTGCGTGAGTTCAACATGGTTACGAATTGAATTCAGTTTAATAGTGCGATAATTTTATACCTATTAATTTCAAGTGTTTGTAATTGTGCCCTTGTCAAGTCTAATTTACATGAAAAATTGGAACTGATGCAGCACCGTTTACAGGAGAAAAGGGTCAGTGATACATATTTCTTGTATTAATTTCAAGGTTTTCGAGTTGATTTTGTGGGTACCGATACCGAATTTCCGTAATACGAGATCTTGTAGTTTTATTTTCAGTTTTGATCATTTTGCCTTTTCATTATACAAATGAATTAATTGCGTGGACGCAGTTACTGCGGCTTCCGAGTACATTTTGATTTATATATCACTAGAATTTTCTGAATCATTTGAAATCATCCATCCATTTACACATTCAAATATTAGTTTAAAGTAGACTGCGTTGCTTAATAGATTTTGCGAGAGAAATGGGGCGGCAATGGGTCAGTGGTTGGTTATTTTTTCAATATGCCAAAAATTACGATTTCTTATTAACACAGCTCTTAGATTCTTGAAATTATTTTGCTACTGGTACATATTTGAATCACCAGTTTAGTTTTTTATAAATTTGTACATCGTTTTAACATATAATTAACCCTCCGTCGGTCGGAGTGGTCCGGCCAGACTTTTTTCGGCTTCAATTAAAAAAAAGAACACTTCTAGTAATCTTATCGACTTGAAATTTCTTGACTTTTCCTAAAATTTCATTAGCTGTCGATCAATGAAAAAATCAGGAAGAAAGAAATGTACTTTGAATTTTTTTTCGAAGCGATCGCGGTGGGCGAGATAGAATATCGGAGCGAGTATGCGCCGCGTCGGAGTTTTACGGTTAAACTGTATAAATTTTGATACTTTATCCATAACAATGTGAACAAAGTTTGTACTTATTATTGAAATCTGTATAAAATATCTGATATTTGATGTACATAATAGATGTAATAATCAGTTTTGGAATACAAATGATTTTTTTTATTGATTTTTATTGGATCTCGGAATCACTGGACCTGTCAATATTTGACAAATAATTTATTCAATACAAGTTCTAAAACAGTGTTGTAATATATAATTAATTCAAAATAAATAATTTTTCCCGAAATATTTGTCGACGATGTCGGTAATGATTGAAATGATTAAGAAAACAGTCGTCTTGAATTGATAAGAAGACGTCCTGATTAGTCTTTGGCAAAGACAGGTCCAGCCGTTTTGATGATACGGGGCAAAAAGTGCCAAATATGGCATTTCATTTTTTGAAAGAACTGAGCGGCGTATGATTTCAATGATTTAAAAAATGTAAAGAAGTATTATATTTATAATGCTTAAAAATGTGAAGCAAGTGTTGGTTAACGCAAACATCAAATGAATTAAATAAAATCGTTATTTGGAATAAAGAAGCATGATAAAATTTTATAAATACAGGTATGTTCAATGATTATTGGAAACGCGTATACGATTAAAAGAAATTTATTTTTGTAAATAGAGGTTTTATATAATAAAGAGATTAAAATAACGGTATTCATTGTTTATGAAGTTATATAAATTATTACAGAATAAACCTGATGATGGAAAGTATTTATTTCCGAAACGTCGTTATAAATATCTTAAAGAAAAACAATTGTTTTTATTATTGGATTTACTGTTTGGAAAAGAAACAATCAATATATTGAAAAAATCCAGGACTTATCTATTGAATATATATATATATATATATATATATAAACATAATTTTTTTAATAATTGAAACATAATTGAATTGATATGGCTTTCTTCAAACAATCTGTTGATATTATATTTGAAAGATATCTTCATTGAAATATATCTGGCTATCAACATTTAACTCAGCAGAGGCAGGAGCAGAACTATAAGAAACCAAGTATCAATTAGAAGTGTGGTGGTCACAAACATTTTTAGTAACATATATAATACAGTTATATACGAATACCATAAATATTAGCTACAGTTATATACGAATATAACTTACTTGGTACTTTTATATCTGCAAGCTATAATATATACAAGCAACACAAGTCATCTGTCAATTATATATCTGCTCTGGAGAATTCAACAATGTAACAATACAATATATAAGGCAAATATACTACAAATATTACAAGGGTCTTCGTTTAAATCAAAATCTAATGTTCTAATTAATGAAAATGTGCTACAAATGTCAAGATCTACAACTGAATACTATATCTTATTAATTTTATGTCAATATTAGTAGATGACTCAGGATATTAAAAGGAAAATGAAATTTTCTATACAAGTATGAATATAAGAATTGTTCCGTTTAATTTTTTTTCATTAGCTTTGATTCTATTCATATGTGCAACTAATTTTTTCATTGTGAAATTTAAAAATATTTGAGAATATGGACAAAGAAGAAACTTTTGGCAGTATTCCGAATGATATGATTAGATTTTATAGTATATCATGTTTGAAAAGCAATTCAATGCAAACACGAGGTGTAGTTTCAGACCTCGAGGAAAGTTAGAACATTTGGAATCCGATGACAAATTTGAATCACTAGAAAAATCAATTTATTTATTTCACAACATATCTGTTTGTTGCCAATATGGAGATTAGAGACTGTGTACAGTCTAATAATTTTGCTATAAATGCGAAAATTACAAAAGTTATGATGCAACTAAAGGAATTGAACTATTTTTATCATTTATTTTTTTCAAATTTCATAAATCAATAAATTTTTTACATATGACGAGCTTTTGTGCTTATCGTGCAAGATGTAATTGCTTATTGAAATTAAAATACATAATGAATTCTTTATTTGCACAATTGAGTAGAGTTTTATAATATCAATTTTGAATATTGAACAATCAAATACAAATTGCAATTTCATAACTTCATATTCGTTTTGTTTATACATATTTGAAATGACGAACCAAAATTAATTTGTAAATTTATTTTCATTTAATTTAACATTCAATAGTGGTAATAATGTACCTGTCTGTTTAAATTCATTACATACTTAGCAAATTTGTCACTTTAAAAGTGAATGTGAGTAGCATACATAATCCTACACGATTATTTTTAAACAGTTGTAAACAGCAACTCGATTTACTTCAAAATGAATATTAAATATGCAATTGATTTATGCTCACAATGCATTTTTACTAAAACATAATTTTTACATATGAACTTTTTGCATTAATATAAATAATGTCAATTATTTCAATAAGATATATTTTGGGAAATCTGTACAAAATTGAACAATGTACAACAATTTCGAAGAGCCAGATTTATATAGATGAAATTGATATTGTTATTGCAATACACTTGAACACATTTTTTAAGTGTTACAAAATGTATCATCTTTATTGAAAGTTAATAGCATTTGAAATGTGATTAAAGTGAATGAAAAAACTAAAAACTGCAAGCCTACATTGAATGACGTGCACGTTGCTTATACATACAAATTTGATGAAATCATACAAGTTTTATAACTGTTTTAATATTTATGAAATTGTATCAAATAATGATATGAATTATTAAATATGAATGCAAACTCAGTCTACTGTTGAATCATATTTGAATTTCAAATCACAAAGTTTTGATAAAATACAAATGAAAATTCTTTCATTGGCATTAGCAAAGGATTTTACTTTTACTTGTATATTTTTCATTCATGCTTGATTTTATTTCTAGTGATTTGATAATATTTAATAAATAATTTATTAACTGTTCAAAAAAAAAAGCCAAAATGATCGATAGGCAAAAGACACCATCTATATATTATATGATTTTGCAATTTTGAACTAGCAATTTATTTTTAAATAATTTGTTCTACATTTTATATAATTAACAATTTAATTGAATAATGCCTGAAATTGAACAATTTCAAGCGAATAATATTAAAATGTTCTATGTTGTTAGAATGTATGGTACCTCTTATCAATATGCTAACAAACATTCATTATCTTTATTTTTTGCTCATGAAAATCAAATTTAATTTCACTTGAAATTTTTAATTCATTGATTCTTGAAAAATTGAAAAGTGAGTTCCTAGACAATACTGAGTGAGTTTGCCATTCAATTTGTTAGCTACAGTTATAATTGTAAAGTATATTTAGGTACATTGATTTTATTATATTTCTAGCTGACAACATTCACTATTCTAACCTACAATATTCAAAGTATATATTTTATAAGTGAATGGCAAACATTATCCCGTAAAAACTTTATAAGTTAAAAATTCATGTGTTGTAAATATTTCACACAATTAAGAAAATACAACATTGAAAATTATTTTAGGGTTATATTAATTTGACAGTTTTCAATTTCTAGCTTGAAGGAAATTGCAATCCACTGATATTTTTTAAATAGATGACATTTACTCATTACATGTCTTACAGTTGATTTTTCTGCTAATACACACTAGAAGCAACATCATGATTTGAACAAAT